TAAAGAACCACAGGACCGCCCACAAATCTCCCACTGACCTGAACAGGACTCCCAAAGCATCGGCAGTCACTAGCTCAAAACCCTGGTATCTAATCGGCGTCACCAGACCCATCAGCCTACAAAGTTGGCGTTCTCTTGTGTTTATCGGCGTGTAATTTATTGCCCTGAAAAGTCCTACTTTTCCTTTTTTTATTAGTTATATTGTGTTTGTTAGCATAATCATTTCTCGGCGAGAACGTCAATAAATGCTGGAGACAGCAGCAACAACAACAACAAAAAGCCCAACTGCTAAATAATTCCTAGAATGAGTTGTCAGAAACCTTTTATTTACTGATTCCGCGCATTTCATTTATTTCTGGCAGCGAGCCAACCTTCCTGACAGCTAAGATTTATTGATTTAATTGCCTAGGGTAACCATGCAATAAAATCATCTCAAAGATAAATTTTCATGGCACTGCGCAGCATTGAAGTAATTTTTCAAGTGCTATGGCTATATTTCTGCAGGTTACAGGTGCAAAATTTGCTTAAAGCAGAAATGTCTCATTATTGTAACCCCAGTGCATCAGCACAGTCCCTTTTGTGGAAAGCTTCCCTCTCGCTCTCTTTTTTAAAGAGGGACAATGCAGGTCTCTCAGAGAAGAAATGATATTTTCTTAATTGGTTCATATATTCAATGCCCAGGAGAAAGTGAAGCTTCAGTTTAATTAGGAGTGGGCTTAGAGGTTATTTACAGTGTTATACAGAATCATTTGTTTCCAGCTGCGAGATGCTTTTTAATGCTGGAGCCTCACACGGTAGATGATTGCCATTTGTGACATTATAGTTTATTGAATCTTTAGATCTTTTTATTTACACTATTAAAGGGCTCATTATAGCTCGGAACAACGAGTAAATGAAAAACTCTGATTAATTCCCAGGTTAATGGAAACATTTCTGAAGTCAGGGATAACATAAACTTTTAACAATGAGAAATATTTTCTTATCTCTTATGATTTATTTTTCAGGAGGGTTTTTTTTGGTTTGTGTTTGGGTTTTTTTGCTTTGATTGCAGTATTTAATAGCTTATTACTCTTGCAGCCTAGGAACTTTGCTCTCCAGACCCAAGGATTTTATTTTTGGTTCTGATGCCACAAGATACTTCAGCTCGTGCTTCCTATCATCCGGCCAAAGAGAGGCCAAAGGTGCTATTAGTGCAGACGCTAAAGCTGCAGAAGGGAGCACTGCTGTGAACTGATATGTAGACCGGCACCAGTGTAGTGCATATCAGAGCTGTGCAAAGCTTTGGTAGCCAATTTGATTCGGAGGAGTTTCAGCCCAATTCGGCAGCTGAATCTCCAAATCTGAATCAAATTGGGAAACCATTAAAAGGTCTGAATCAAATCAGAAGCCTCCAAATCAATTCAGAAAAGATCCAGCACTGATTTGGAGGAGATTCGGCCATAAACAGGCAGCAGTCCTCACCACACTAGACACAGCTGCCTCCAGCTGGTAAGTCTGGTGTAGTGGGCAGAGCAGGGAAGGAAGGGGCATGTGGGGGGGGGGAGAGGTTCAGATCAACAACCCCACAGCAAGGGAGGGACTGAGGCTAGGACAGGCTGCCCAGCTGGAGTGGGGGGCAGCTGGACTCAGGGAGGGAAGCTCCCGCCACGTGCCACCAGTCCAGGAAGCCATGGGAGCATGCATGTGCCCCCAGATCTGTGCGGGGCAGGCTGGGCCAGGCTGTACTGTGGGAGGCTAGCCCCAGCTGCCCGCCACCGGGCTGCACTCCATGGAACGGGTGGAGCCATGGCTGTGTCGGGTGGCTAGACCCAGCCGCAGCCCAGAGTGCAGCCCTGGCTTTGCCCGCCCCACATAGAGCAGTGGGGCGGGGTCTATGGGAGGGCTGCAGCCACCTTAAAATTTCCCATAGCCCCTGCTGCCAGCCCCTCCCTGATCCAGGTGCACACACCCACCGCCATGCCCTGCCACTGCTCGCCCAGCTGGGGCAAAGCTGTGGCTTGTCCAGGAGGCATGGGGAGGCTGGGCGAGCAATGAGAGAGCATAGCCCCCACTCCCAGTGCCTTCCACCACCCATCCAGAGTGCAGCCCATCCAGCCCAGCCTGCCCCGCGCAGATCTAGGAGCACACGCCCACTCCCATTCCTTACCTGGACCGGTGGCATGCAGTTGCAGGATCCCCCCTCCTCAAGTCCCCTGCCCTGGCTGGGCAGCTTGTCCCCACCCCAATCCCTCCCTCACTGTAGGGGCATTGATCTGCCCCCTCCCTCCCTGATCCACCCACCACAACAGACTTACCAGCTGGAGGCAGCTGT